TTCCCTTTTATCTCCAAAACTGGCAGAGATAGGTCCATGGTTACTATTGAACTTGAATAGGAAGTCATATACTGGCAATCTATATGTGACTTTGAAATTGACCTTTGACCTACTTTTTATCATGAATTGAAGTTTACAAATTTTGGTTCCCTTTTATCTCCAAAACTGGCAGAGATAGGTCCATAGTTGCTATTGAACTTGAATAGGAAGTCATATACTGGAAATTTACTGTGACCCTGAAATTGATCTTTGACCTACCTTACTATGAACTGAACTTTGATTGTACCATTTTTAGTTATATTTATTTTTTGCATATTTTGAGAATTCTTGTTGATTGCATTTTTTACAGCTTTTCAAGCACAAGTCTGGTGTTGGTGTCCCTTTTTTGTGTGTGTGGGGGTCTATATGATCGCGCTTACTCCAGCTGGTGGTACAATATTCGGAGGCGGTATCGCCTCTCTGATCCTCTAGTTCAATACATCATAGCAGCTACTTTTAGATACGAGGTTTTTTTTTTTTTTTTTTTTTTTTATTTTTTTTTTTTTGCCTGGTATGGCATCTAGATATTGGCCTTGGATAACACAATCCGCCATCTCTTGACCTGACATGACTCGACCCACACTCCAGTCAGTATATCGCGGCATTCACCGCCGCTTAACCAGCCAATATAATATAGCTACCGTATTTGACATAAAACCCAGCTCCCCAGTGGCAACAAATATGGATTCCACTGGCGTCGGTAAGAACAGGGTTATCATCGTAGGAGCGGGGATGGCAGGACTGTCCGCGGCAGACGTCTTGATCAGTGCAGGCATCCGAGACATCGTTGTTCTGGAGGCAAGAAACAGGTACGTACCGAACGCTGCCTCACCAGTAGGTCTACGTGGCACGTGCTCAGAATATTGTTGTTCTTAGAGCGTGTGGCGCTCACTGGGCTTTAATAAGACGCTCTTTTCGTGTTTTTATAAAACACCTTCATTTTTTTATTACATGCACAATATATTCCTCACATTAATTAATAAATTTATTCACCTTTTTATTTTGATAACGTTAATTAATGTGCATCAATCTTTTATTATGTAGGCCTACATCTGCCAATGAAAGATGGCGCTTTATTTTATCCCATTTCATTTTATTTCGTAGGCCTAATGTGTTTAGGATGGTCTGTTGGTGTTTTGGTTGAGGTCCTGACTACTTTGAAACCTTAACTAAAATTTCTTGCCGGCTTATGGAATTCCATCTGTTCTACGGCACCTCTGTGGGACAAAAACCCAATAGAAATATCATCGGAAATCGTGTGGAGATTCTACAGAAATTCTACGGGGCCATGTTGTTTTGCAGGCCTCAGAAAAGTACCTGAAGTACTAGTCTTTAAAATAACATGTTAAGTCAACAGAATAATTTATACACTGACCCGATTTCACCCTCAACTACAAATACATGTACAAATAGAGGCCTTACCGTTTACCCCCCCTCCCCTCGACGCGTTCGTCACATCTAAATGTAAACCTTCTGTAGTTTCTGTTCACCCTTCTGTTGTTATAGGCCAAATCTTGTATAATTACTTTTTTACTAAACGGGTTTAAATTTTATAGAAAGAAGGTTACTCTCTTCCTTNCCCTCCTTAAAATTTGCTTTAGTGATGGACTTTGTCTCTTACTCTTTATAATCTGCATTTCGGTTAGTATCTCATTCATTTTGTCATCTTGTTTTACCAAAGGTAAGTTTCCAGTTATGACCTTATGTATTTCCAGATTTTTTGGATTATATGTTGATATGTACGGTATGGCTTCCTTTTTAATTTTAATTTCGTCTTTGGTGGTCCTCAGGTCGTTCTTCGGTATCTGTTTTGCCTTTTTAATCCCAGTTTGTATCAGTTGTCTTGGGTATTGTCTCCTTAATAGGAATCCTTCCAGCTGTTTGAGCCTTTGTTTTAATGTGGTTTCATTTGAGACAATTGTGCATAGTCTTCGAGCTAGATTGTATGGTATGTTGTGCTTAATGTGCCTGGGATGACACGAGTTAAAAGGGAGATATTGTTTTGTGTCTGTTGTTTTGTAATACACATCTGTCTCAGTTTTTCCTTTTACACTCACTACCATAACATCGAGGAATGGGAGTTGTGTTGAACTTGAATCCATCGTAAAATGTAAAGAGGGATGTAGGTTGTTGAGGATCAGGTTGAAATCTTCCAATTCATTTTCTGTTTTGTCCCAAATTATAAAACAGTCATCAAGGAAACGTTTCCATGTGTTTTCTAATTGATTCCTAAATTCGACTCCAAACCGTTCTTCGCATCTTTTGTAAAGGCCTTTTTCGATGTATCCCAAGACAAGTGTAGTGTAAGTGGGGGCTACTTTTGTACCCATTGCAGTTCCTATTTTTTGGCGGTAATGTTTGCCGTTGAAGTGGAAAGAATTGTTTGTCAAGATGAACTTAAGTCCTTCTATAATGAGGGTATTTTGGATACGTTTTGGAATATGTGACGGGTATCTTTCTATCCAATAGCTGATTGCCTCAATGCCCAGATCATGAGGGATGTTTGAGTACATGTTGGTAATATCGAAGAAAACTAGAATCGAATTTTCATTGATATTTTTTGGCAAGTTGTTAAGGAAGTCCACCGTGTCCCTTATGTAGCTTTTCACTTCTTTCGTAAAGGGTTTTAATAAAATGTGTAGAAAATTGCTAAGTCTGTGAGTTTCGCATGCTGGCCCAGCTATAATTGGACGCATTTTTAAATCACTCGTATCATTGACTTCTACGTAGGTCGACTTTGTTGTCTTGCATGCTTTGTTGATGCATTCGCTTTTATGTATTTTAGGGAGTCCATAGAAATTGCTCACTTTGTATTCAAAATTTGTGAGATAGTCACAGTGCATATATATATATATATGCACTGTGCTTAGGGTTCCATTGGGTATTTTTGTTACCCAGTAATTAAGTCACTTTATATTTCCTGAGGTGAAACCCTCATATTATTTAGTGTAATCTACAAAGAATCCCCTTTCTGTAACTTGTGATTACAGCTTTCATTCTTCATTATTCATGATATGAAGTCATATTGTGCTGGGCGATTTGGGATTTTCAGGTCACATTTCCTGCATTTTCGATGAGATGCAAAGAAATTTTCATTTACTGTGGTTTGTGAATGATTTTATTTCCTGTGAACTGTGACCACCCCCACCCCCCAATGAGGCCTTCTGTACTTGTACTACATATAGTAAAAAGAACCAGATTGTACTTTTTACTAATGTCATAGTTACATGTAGGCACAAATGCCTGCAATATTCACATTGATGAAGTATGATTAAATGCAAAATACATGTTTTAACATATCTACAATACATATTCACATTATTCTGCATATAGTCTGAATAAGTTCATTTGCAAAGCGCTAATGGTACCCCAGTTACTATCAGACCAAGAATTTTCATTCTCTTAAAAGGCCTGTATAGCCAGCTAGTTCAAGGGGGGGGGGGGGAAAGTTCTGAAAAAGTGGACCTTTTACCATATGTATACGTACCTAGATAAATTTTTACATGGAGCTGACTTTTCCCTGCAAAAAAGGGTGTATGTGTGTGTGTGTGTGTGTGTGTGTGTGTCATATTTTGGAGAGCATATTTTAATTTATCTGTGATTTGCTGGACCAAACAAATCGTGACCCTATTTATGTCAGTTTACCTGAAGCAGTATTTACGTGGTCACTAGTATGAAATATGTGCATTTTTGGCACATGCATGGGGTATAGTTTAGTTATCTAATTATACAAGAGAGAGCAATTAGATAAAAATTTATTGTATATGCATATATGTAGTTATAATGATTATAAAAATAACAGATTGAATGATAACGTCAGCGGAATTTTATTTCAGCAAGGAGGAGCTGCCACGCCTTATGAAGCCAGTTGGCACATGCTCCCAAACTCAGTTGATGCTCATATTCATTATCTGTACTATTTGAATGGGAGTATTTGTTTTAGGCTCATTAGATGTGACAGACCCTTATGATTCAAGGTTTGAAATGGTAAACCAATAAATAATGTAATATGATATAACCTATAGAGATAATGTTGCTGTATATACTGGAGAAAGGTGACATGTGTAAGGTGACATGTGTAAGGTGGAAGTATTGTATTGGTACTAGTAGGATAATGAAAAGCCAAAGAAATGATGCATTGTATCTTGACATTATTATCAGTTATAAATACAAATATGCATGTAATAAGATTGGTGTAGTATTTTGTGTTAGTATCTTGTACTGCTTTTGTGGGGCCATGTCATAATAGTTCGAAGGTTTGATAGTCTCGGACCAATGAACTTTCGGACCAGTAAACAGAACCACTTTTCAACCTGGAGGTTGTGCTATTGGTTCTCTTTGTCTGACTGATAGATTTTAATGAAATTTTAAGAAACTGTCAGGATTGAGGGACCAATTAATTAATGATTGGATTTTGATGATGAATTAATTAATTAATGTCTGTAAGCAAAATTATGCAAAAGGTCATGAAATTTCCAGTGCGATCCCTGAATTAATTAGTAAATCAATAATTAATTAATTGATAACAATTATGAGAATTGAATCGCCTTGGCAGCTAAAGGTTTGTGCTCTCTGAGTGCTTTCCTTTAAACTAAGATCTAATAAACAATCTGTTTATTAGATCTTAGCTTTAAATAAATGCCCATTCCTTTCCGCTTTTCAATTTTGTATAACTATATTTTCAAAGTCATAATAAATCTGTGGATTGATTTTATAACTGATACACTGTATTTTTGTTGTTATTCAATACATCATAGCAGCTGCTTTAAGATACTTTTCTTTTCTTTTTTTTTTTTTTTTTTTTTGCCTGGTATTACATCTAGTTTTTTTAATTTTTTAATTTTATTTATTTATTTATTTATTTTTGTCTGGTATGGCATCTAGATATTGGCCTTGGATAACACAATCCGCCATCTCTTGACCTGACATGACTCGACCCACACTCCAGTCAGTATATCGCGGCATTCACCGCCGCTTAACCAGCCAATATAAGCTACCGTATTTGACATAAAACCCAGCTCCCCAGTGGCAACAAATATGGATTCCACTGGCGTCGTTAAGTACAGGGTTATCATCGTAGGAGCGGGGATGGCAGGACTGTCCGCGGCAGACGTCTTGATCAGTGCAGGCATCCGAGACATCGTTGTTCTGGAGGCAAGAAACAGGTACGTACCGAACGCTGCCTCACAAGTAGGTCTACGTGGCACGTGCTCAGAATATTGTTGTTCTTAGAGCGTGTGGCGCTCACTGGGCTTTAATAAGACGCTCTTTTCGTGTTTTTATAAAACACCTTCATTTTTTTATTACATGCACAATATATTCCTCACATTAATTAATAAATTTATTCACCTTTTTATTTTGATAACGTTAATTAATGTGCATCAATCTTTTATTATGTAGGCCTACATCTGCCAATGAAAGATGGCGCTTTATTTTATCCCATTTCATTTTATTTCGTAGGCCTAATGTGTTTAGGATGGTCTGTTGGTGTTTTGGTTGAGGTCCCGACTACTTTGAAACCTTAACTAAAATTTCTTGCCGGCTTATGGAATTCCATCTGTTCTACGGCACCTCTATGGGAATTCTGTGGGACAAAAACCCAATAGAAATATCATCGGAAATCGTGTGGAGATTCTACAGAAATTCTACGGGGCCATGTTGTTTTGCAGGCCTCAGAAAAGTACCTGAAGTACTAGTCTTTAAAATAACATATTAAGTCAACAGAATAATTTATACACTGACCCGATTTCACCCTCAAACTACAAATACATGTACAAATAGAGGGCTTGCCGTTTACCCCCCCCCCCCCTCCCCTCGAAGCGTTCGTCACATCTAAATGTAAACCTTCTGTAGTTTCTGTTCACCCTTCTGTTGTTATAGGCCAAATCTTGTATAATTACTTTTTTACTAAACGCGTTTAAATTTTATAGAAAGAAGGTTACTCTCTTCCCTTTTTC